GCGTGTATGTGTGTATGTGTGTGCCTATATTTCTTCTTAAACATGCTGTCGTAAAATTATATTCTATTCTTGAAACTTTTTTGTTAATAACTATTTAATAAATAACAATAAACAGCTAAAACCTTGTGAAAATTATTCAGAAAGATGACCTCGGGAAATGTAAAGACAAAAATATAAACATATTTAGAAAGTAACGAAAAGATAATACAACTAAGTATGAAACTTTAAAATTGCATATCTCAGGAATGAAGAGAGAGCGCCACAAAATTCAAACGGTGTATTACTTAGGAATGTGTCCTCTACAACATATCTGAAAATAAAAATTTTTCGAGCTGTGTAAAGTAAACATTTACCATTTTTACATAATCCATAAAATATCTAGTAAAATATTCATTTTTTTTATTATCTTACTTTAATACTTTTATGTACAAAATAATGAGAGGAATCAATTGATGTAAAAAAACGCAGTTGTTTTTAAGAAAAAATAAAAAAAATTCAGCGACTAAAAAGGTACAACATATTTCAAATTCAGCCATTTTCGCCGGGACTCATTTTTACGTGGTTTAGTGCGGGATCCTTTATAAAAATATAAAACTTTTTTTAGCAAATTTTTTACTTTTCTGAAAGATTTCAAAAATATTGCAAATGTAATATTATAAAAAACATGATACAGGAATATTTCTGAAATATTCCAAATACAAAGTTACAAAAAATGTTATTGAAATATTTTTGAATCTTACAATATTTTTTAATAATATTACATGCCGAATGGGTTAAGCATTTATATAAGCATTGTTTTTATTCATTCCAGATAGGAAAAAATATCCCAAAAATATCCAAAATGTATTCAGGATATCTTGAGGGATTTTATAGGATGTACTCAAGACATACGCTTCAAGATATCCTGGATATGTATGTGTAGGATGATATTAGAGCTTTTAAGCCACATTTGAGTTTAATGAATATACAGTAGACATTAATGAAAGATTTATACCTTATTGAAGTTTTTAACATCTTAAAATTATTTCAAATATTTCATTATAATTAATGAAATCTCCGAATGTATACATAAAATATTTAACATTAATATAAATATCTTGGAAATACTCCAAAACATCCTAAACATATTCAAGATAATCCTGAAGATGTCTTGCGCTATTTAGGGATGGATGCGATCATGAAAATTGCACGGTAGAAATCTATTTTGGACTTAAACAAAAATTTTTTATACGCATATTCCAGATTTAAAAAATTTTATATATACAATATATACTATTTGTAAAACAAAATATTTTTAAAAAAATTAATATTTTTGTATATTTCTATATACACACATATATAAAACATTTGTTTTCAAGTAAATGTTTAGTTTAATCTGCTAAATTTCAAAATAAAATAATTTTGAAATAAATTTTAAAAAATGTTCAAAATATACTTAATTGATCTCTTGTTACATAAAAAGTTTGAAAACTAAAGATCTGTTATCTAATAACATAAAATTATTAAATATTAAAGGTGTCACTTCTGCGACGTTGTGCAACATTGATAAACAGTTTTAGATTATTCTATCATAAAAAAATATGCTTAAGTCGAAAGAAAAAGTAGTGAAGGAATTTGCAGAAAAAATATATTTAATCAATAAATTATTAATTTTTTATAAAAATTTACATTTACAAGTTACTAATAAAATTGCATATTAGACAAGAAAGTTATTACTGTAATTAAAATTATTTTTAAAATTGTTTCAGAACAACATATTATTACAACATATTATTTATTTAAAAGTTGAAAAATCCATCGTATCGACGAAATATTGGTAAAAACAAAATATCTTTTTGATATTTTGTTTTTACGCAAAAAGACATTGATTAAATATATTTTTAATAATTTTAATAATTTTATTTTTAATAATTTTTAAAATTTATTCCAAACTTTATTTTTTAAAGCATATTTTTATCAAAATTTAAATGGAAACAGATAAAAAATATTTATTTGCCCTTATTATACCACACGAGTTTTTTTAGAGTATATTTTTCAAATAAGAATTATACTCAAGATAGCAAAGTCTCTAGAAAGCAGATTATGCCAAGTGTCTGCTATAACTAATGTTAGCAAAAAAGCTACAAATTTGATATTGAACCTATTATTACCAATTAAGTTAATAAATTGATGTCAAAAATCAAGCAGAGCCTGCTCATAGACTTTGACGCAGATTAGCGACAGAAACTAAGCAGGATTTTCGTGCGCGTAATTAGATTGCAGATTGACGGCAGAAGTGGAACAGGATTTGCATGCGTGATCTGATGGCTAATTGGCAACAATCATTTGATTCGATAGTTTCTTCGCTTACGGCTATGTGATATATTTGCAATCAAATTTCGGTCAGAAATATATATAAAAAGTCGCGAATATGAATAAAAGACTAAAAATATAGTAATTATCATTTTAATTTCTATCACTTTAATTTCTGATATCTGATACAAGCAAATGAGAGTCAGAATATTAAACTGATTGGAATCAATATTATAAATTGAAAATTATTCGTGTACTATCTATTTGAGGCATAAAGCAAGAATTTAATTCTAAATAATTACATCTCAAGTTTTACAAGTTACATTTATTTTTATCATTTACTTTATTATTAATTTAATTAAATTGAATTAGTCCTTCGCTATATGAGATATAACTATGATGTAACATATTACATATATGTTTCCTAAGAAAATTCTAATTAACTTGATAATATTGTTATTTAGCACCTGCAATAATCCATTTTGCATTTATATAACATTAATAAAAGTAAGCCCAAATCTTGTGAAGTTTCTGCTGTCAATTTGTTATTAGGTTGCATGCGCAGATTCTGCTCGATTCTGCTCGGTTTCTGCTAACAATCTAACATCAAATTGCACGCGCAGATCTTGCTCGATTTCTACTGGTCAATCTGCTGTCGGTTTATGCTGACAGATTCTGCTAGCAGAACCCAAGCTTAATGCGGACGCAGTTGATGCAATCTGCCGCAATATTCTGTTTGAATCTGCTCGCATGCTGCTGGCAGACTGCTAACATTTTGCTTACATATATATATATATATATACAGGGTGAGCCATTTTAATTTATCCACCCCAATAACTTTTTTATATTTGAATGTACAACAAAATGTTTCAAATAAAAGTTGCTTGACTTCGAGGGGGACAGAAGATGGGTGGCAAAAATTTGACCTTGGATAGTCATTTGAAGGTCACATAAAGGTTACCTTCAATTTCTTAAATGGAACCCCTTATTTTTCATTGCATATTCTTGTAGCTTATCTCGAGAGCTTTCCAAAACACTATACTTAAGTACCTTTTCATTAAGTACTTTTTGAGTTATAAGGCTTGAAATAATTTCTTAATTTTACATAAACCATAAAATATCTAGTAAATCATTCATTTTTCGATTATCTTACTTTCATACTTTTATGTACAAAATAATGAGAGGAATCAATTGGTGTAAAGAAAATACATAATTGTTTCTAAGAAAAAATATGTAATTTGCAATTAACAATTCCATATTTTTTCTTAAAAACAACTGTATGTTTTCTTTACACCAATTGATTCCTCTCATTATTTTGTATATAAAAGTATCAAAGTAAGATAATCGAAAAATGAATGGTTTACTAGATATTTTATGGTTTATGTAAAATTAAGAAATTATTTCAAGCCTTATAACTCAAAAAGTACTTAATGAAAAGGTACTTAAGTATAGTGTTTTGGAAAGCTCTCGAGATAAGCTACAAGAATATGCAATGAAAAATAGGGGGTTCCATTTAAGATTTCAAACTTGCCCCCCCTCACCGCCCAGGGGGAGGGGTGGGGGGGCTGATTTTAACGTCATTGTACGTCCCCCTCGAAATGACGAAATTTTGATTCTAACCATTTTTTCGTAGTGTGCTTATTTTTCGAGTTATTTGGCTGCCTAAGTTAAAATGGGTCACCCTGTATATATGAAAGGTTAATATATGTTATTAGCTCTTTTATCGTTATATATTTTATAATAGCTTGTGATTATATTTGCTATCTTTCTGAATGATCTGTCATTCACATATTTATCAAATTACATCTTTTTTCAAATTACATCTTTTAAAATATCCTTTAAAATCTGACGAGTGAGCGAAACTTCGATTTTTCGAGTAGCTTTATAATTGCGACTGAAAGTTATTCTTAGGGAAAAAAATCAAAGATTATTAAAGAATTCTATATATACTATAAACTTAAAAAATATAAATATAAATGTGGAATTCTACACACATACAGTAATGAAATGAATGAAAGTAATTAAGACAGTCTGACCAATGTAAATATACACTTTTTACACATAGTGATAATGAGAAATGTGATCGAGATATGTTAATAAACATATGTAACTTAAAAAATAAAGTGGTTAATGAACTGTGTTACATAATATTCGTATGCAAAATGTATTTTTATATTTTATACTGTGTTATAAATCTAATACATGTACACATATAAAGGGTCCAAAGGAAGAATGTAAAAGTTTATTTTTAATTTTTTTGAGATGATTGCAATGTTGTAGCTAATAAAGTAGTTTTAAATTATTATAAGATAGCTTAAATCACAAAAGAAAATGCATACAGAGAAATATGTTTAGTCAATACAGATAAATTTGTAGTAAAAATTCACATTAAGTTACTAATAAAATTGCATATTTAGTTATTACTATAATCAAAATTATTTTAGGTGGCCCAGAATAACAAAACATTATTATCATATATTGATTAGATAGATTCATTTAAAAAAGCATATAAATTACAAAAAATACTCTATTATAAAATTGACAAAATGAATAACCCAAAATTAATATCTAAATCCTCCATTACTTTATGTGATTGACTTCAAATATTAAACAATATATCTTAAGAGAATTATTTTTATTTTCTGTATTTTATCTCTTGTGAGGATAAAATACAGAAAATAAATTTTCTTGAATAAAGATTTTTTAATTGTAAATCAATAAAATATAAAAATTCTAAAAATATTCACATTTTTCTATTTACTGACAATATTATAATAGCATTATATTTTTTATATAAATAATTTTGTATTTCACTTTCATTTTTTATTTTTTTCCGCTGTATTGAGAATTAATTTCTCCCATATTTGCCTGCAGAAAATAGAAATTATTAAATTTATTTGAAATGGCAATTATTAAACGATATAATTATTACATATATGATGTTATATAACGCTAATAAAGTTAATAAATAAAAAAGCTAATCTTACAGATTGTATTCGTAACATTTGATCTAATGCATGTGGGAGTAATGGACGTATACTATTAATTTCCATTGCAGTAAGATGATCTAATCTTGCATGCACTCCTTCGCTCTTTACAAAAGCATCAACAGATGTACGCAATTTAGACATTCTTATATCCCATATATCCTATATATAATGCAAATTTTGATAATACAATTTTTATTCTCTATGTTATTGTCTATGCTTATTGTATTTAGTCAATTTATTTACCTTTACAGATGTCCTTATACGATCTGCATCAGGTATATCATCATTTGCCACATTTAATAAAATTTGACTTTCATCTATATAATGATTACTAGGCATCTCTGTAAACAACCTAATTCGTAAAATATTTTATAAGTAAATGACGACATCGGATTTTGAAATATAAGATTATTTTGAAAAATATATATAAATATCAATAAAAAATAAAAACATCAATAAAGAACATATATCAATAAGTAGCAATTTTGGGCAGTTGCTTACATACTTTGACATCTTTTCCATTTCTTTTCTGTCATTTAGACTTTCAATATTCATCCATTCTTGGTTAATAATACGACACTTTTGTTTCTGCTTGAGAGACACGGCAAGCCAAATTGGTACTTTGACAGGCAAACCGGCGCGAAATGGCCCAACTGAGCCCGAGATCAGATAAATTATATCCAAATTGAAGTTAGGCACTATGTTAACTAGTTGCTTCTCGCCAAGAAATTCAATCTTACTCGGGTCCATGTTTTGTTAAAATTTTAATTCACTTTAAGTATCATTTTTTTGTTGTCACCGTTTATAATCATTTTAACACTTCTTAGGGTGCTTTCCAGCTATGGTAACACAGTGATACACTGTGTGACACAGTGGGTCTGTTCTTTTTAGCTGCACTGCTGCATTAGTGCAATTAGTTAGAGTGAAAGAAAGTATGTTTGTCTCTTTCCAACTTACTGCACTAGTGCAGCAGTGCAACTAAAAAGAACAAACCCAGTGTTACACAGTGTCGACTTGTAGCTGGAACGATTTTAGCTTTCTTATTTTGCCACTAGAGTGCAGGGCAGTCACTTTTAATAGTTGTCACTAGGTCTAAATTTTCAGAACGTTCCCACACAACATTATGTCATCTTAAAGACGTCTAGATGTCTTTAAGGGTCGCAGCACACACTTTTGCATAAGCGCATAACCAGAAGCATAAGGAAATTGATTGGTCCCCAAGTATATGCATAAAGGTGCGGCCTCATTGACGCTAAAAAGTAGCGTCAACCATTGGTTGAACAAAGAGGTAAGTATACTTACCTCTTTGTTCAACCAATGGTTGACGCTACCTTTTAGCGTCAATGAGGCCGCACCTTAAGAAAATGAACCAATCAATTTTTGTATGTTTATGGTTATGCGCTTATGCAAAAGTGTGTGCTGCGACCTTAAGGGCCTATCCAGACAAACTTGCATAGGTGCATATGCATAACATAAAACCATATGGACCAATGAGCATCGAGCATTAAATCGCTATATTGACTTACATAACATAATACTCGATGCTCATTGGTCCATATGGTCTTATGTTATGCATATGCACCTATGCAAGTTTGTCTGGATAGGCCCTAAGTCGTCTTTTTAGCGAATATAAAAATTTGGTTATCTTCTATCACGCAATACCATTCTTAAAAAAATTAATGATACCAAATATGAAATGTTATGTTGGCACTCACTGGGGTGCTACAAAACGACGACACAGGCGAACACAGCATTTTTGCTGTGTACGATTGTGTCGACTTGTGTCGTAGTTGGAAAGCACCTATATCGACTGTAGCGACACAGTGTCGCCTGTGTTGCTTGCTGGAAAGCACCCTTAATCTCCTGTATCTCCTGTATTTCGACAACTATTTACTTCTTTGTTCAACCAATGGTTGACGCTACTTTTTAGCGTCAATGAAATTGCACCTTTAAGGTACAATTTCATTGACGCTAAAAAGTAGCATCAATCATTGGTTGAACAATGAAGCAACTACTTACTTCTTTATTCAACCAATGGTTGACGCTACTTTTTCGCGTCAAGGAAGAGGCCGCTTTAAGGTGCGGCCTCATTGACGCTAAAAAGTAGCGTCAACCATTGGTTGAACAATGAAGCAACTATACTTACCTCCTTGTTCAACCAATGGTTGACGCTACTTTTTAGCGTCAATGAGGCCGCACCTTAAAAGCCTTTGCACAATGCTGCTATCAGCATTCGAAAATATGTTTGGTCGGTGTTGGGAAAAAAGATAAAGTTGGCAGTATTGAAAACTCCTAGTGCTGCGTTTCGTTTCTCCCACTGGGAACATTAGGATTGTATTGTACCGTATGTACAATATATAAAAGTGTTGCAATTACATTAATTATTATTATGGAACAATATATTTTACTCGAAAACATCATTTTTGAATTTTCGAGTAGTTCTTCTTCAGATAGTGATGATAATAATGAAGAATTACAAAATATTTTATTCGAAAATAGAAGTAATAGCAATAGAGGTGAAAGGAAAATAGTATCAAAAATAACAGATTATTTGGAAAATGTTGTTACCAGATATACAAATATTGAATTTAAATCACATTTTAGGTAAATTATGTCACTTTATTATAATTATAGCATTATTAATATAAAACACACGTTCGTATTAATAATAATATATGTGATGTTATTAAACATATTATTATAAAATATATTTAACTACTTATTTACCTCTTTTAATATCTCAAGTAGCAAATTTTTTTAATCCTAGTGATCCCAGTGGGAGAAACGAAACGCAGCACTGGGAGTTTTCAATACTGCCAACTTTATCTTTTTTCCCAACACCAACCAAACATATTTTCGCACTACAAGAGTAACGTCTAGTACACTACCCCGGAGCGATTGAACGATTAGTCGAAAACTATTAGTGCGCATGCGCGACTTTATTTCCACACAGCGCATCACGGCGTGACCTACCTTTCAGTTCTTTGCACATCATGCGGATATGCGTGAAGTGATAGTGTGGCACTTTTCATTGTCAGTTGTTTGCGTATCATGAAATGAGACGTACTAGTATATATGTCAAACAAACGCAATAGTATAGTGATGTAGTATCTTGTCATGAGTAGTTACTATGTTAAGCTAGCGCCAGACTATGCGCGTTTTCGCGAACGTGATGCGTGATTCGTATAACGTTCGCGAATAATATGGAGGGAAAATTCGTCGATTTGTCATGCGCGATTCGTCATTCGCACTGATTTGCTAACTGAGCGATTTTTTGACGAATCTCAAAGGACACGAATGGTTACGAATCAATCCATTCGTGTCGCGTTACACTATGCGTAATTAGTTCGTGTTTTTTTTTTGATAGATTATTGCATAATTATAATGAAGAGAGAGACAATGGAGAGGTGGACAAATAATTGCGTGCTTGAACTTATAGAAGACGTAAGACACGTAGAGACGTAGATGTTTATGAGATCCAAAAGATAAATATTAAAAAAAGAACTGGTCGAAGTAACGCGAACTAGAAACTAGAAACGACGAATTATGAATGATATACAGCGAATCGCGAATAGTATGGAAAGTTAACACTGAATAACGAATCTCCCTGAATGTCCATCTGCCTGAATCTCTATGAATCACGAATTACAAATCACACATAATCTGGCATTAGCTTTATATTGCAAATAAAATTGTGATTTATTGAACAATCGTTATATATAGATATAATATAAAATTATTTTTAAATAATTTTTTCTGATCAGTTTTCATTGACATGGCTTGGTTGTCTGGTCTTGCGGATAAGGCAGAGAATTTACTAAATAAAATCGACAAGAACACAGCAGCTGTTTTAAATAAAGATAAATATGAGATGTCACAAAATCACTTGTCAACAGAAATAACATGGCTTTCTCCGGAACTTGGGTAATTGTGTTTATGTCAATTTTAAATATAGTAAATATTTTTAGATCACTTCACGCAACAAACTTTTATACATTTCATATATTATTTTTTGTGCATAGAATATAATATATAAATTGGAATATAAATTTATCCTATAAAAAACATTATTCTTTCTCTTCTACCCTTCTCTCTCTCTCTCCTGCAATTTTGAACATATGATTTTAACATGATAATATAGCTGCTAATGGGAAAAAATATGAGGATAAATAAAAATATAAGTTTTATTTCAGACAAAATGGAAGTACATCTAAAAGACCCTTATTGGAATCATCAGATCATATCCCTTATATTACTCCTACTTCAAAATTAACATCAGTGAATCTATTAAATGTGACAGCATCTAAAGAAGATGTACTATTTACATATTTAAATACTCCAGATCCAAGTCCAAAAAAGATAGCAGAGTCTTTTAATTTGTCAAAAACTTCATTAGTAGACCATCCTACTAATGATACAGATTCAGAATTATCAACTCATAGCGATCAAATTAGTCCAATTCATACTTCATTAGAAATGGTTCCAAATGCTTTAGAAGATAAAGATGCTGAAAATGAAAATATAGGTGCAGAAAATGAAAATTTATGTCTATCTAGTGAAACACAGATGTTAAATTGTGAATATTTAACTAAACCAATAACAGATGCTCTACAAAATGGTATATTTTTATTTGTGTACATCATTAATTTGTAATATATATAATTTATATATATTTTTATATTACAGAACACAAAACAGAAGAACATTTGAATATTTTTTATCCTCAACTTAAATATAAAATAAAATTGAATAATTCAAAAGTGGATATGTTAGATAATTTCACTGATTCAATAGAAAATGAGTCTATGCAAAAATATATAAGAGAAATGGAAAGAAATTTAGAAAAACAAAATGAGCTTCTTGGGAAACAAGAAACAGATTATCAGAAAGAAATTGTAATTTTAAATGAAATGTTAAAAACTTTAGAAATAGAAAAGTTACAACAATCTAAGCAAATAATGGATTTGCAATTTGTTATTGACAGAAATAGACAAGAATTAAATTTAATTAGATCTGAACTAGAGCAGCATAAGGCTAGAGCATTAAAAACTTTACAAGAAAAGGAAAAATTGATAATTGAATTAAAGAGCAATGCTCCAATAGCTATGGATGAAGTTACCATCATGGAATTAAATCAATTAAAGTAACATTAATATCTTACAAATTTATATTATCATCTAATAATCATTATGTAGTACAGAATGTAATCTATTAATATATTAAATCACAGGCAGGAATGTGACAGTGTTAGAGAAGAAAATCAGCAGATGTGTCAACAATTAAAAACGTTACGTGAAGAATTAATAAGTGCAGATTTGAACTTAGAAAAAATAAAACAGAAGTCAATGGAAACAAATCTGCAAAACCAAGAGATTCTTACCAATGAAAGACATCGAAGATTAGAAGCGGAAGAAGATGCAAGACTGCATTCTGAAGTATACAATTTTACATAAAATTTTACAAACATATATTGCATCTTTCGACATTTTTTGAGTTAATAATTAAAAAGTAATAACAATTAATTAATTATGTTTTAGGAAATAAGATCATTAAAAGATAAATTAATTAATCAACATAATGAATTTACTCTACAATTACAAAAGAAGAATTCAGAGATTTCTAGGCTTAAATTACAGCTATCTACATCAGCAATGCCAAATAGTGAAATGGATTCAAGGATAGCATCTCTTACACAAACTTTGGTCATAAAACAACAAGCATTGGAATGTTTAACTACAGAACGAAATGCATTACGTCTCCAACTTGAAAAAATCGAAGTAAATATAATAATTATTTTTAAAAAAATATTTTTAAAAGTTTTTTTAGAAAACTATATAATATAATATATAGGCTAAAATATATATTATTTTATACTATTTATTCTATATTATTTATTTTATACTATTTATTTTATATTATTTATTCTGTGATATATTACATATACCTTTCATGATATATGTTTGTTGATAAATAAGTGTTTTGAATTTTAGTATCTCTAAAAATTTTAATCTATCTCTTTTAGTATCTCTAACGTTTAGTATCTGTAAATGTTTTTCATGTATATTTCCAAATACTTCTTTTCTTTAACTTATGTTTATAAATGCATATACACATGCACTGAATATATATATATATATATATATATATATATATATATATATATATATATATATATGTATACAAAGTGTTTCTTAAGTAATGTCTAAAACTTCAGGAAGTACTTGGATGACTAAGAAAAAAAATCCTATGAACATGGATTTGGAAATGCTTTTCTGCAGAATTATGGACCTTCAAAGAAAAATAAAAGAATTCTGTAATTATCTTTCATAATTTTTAATTGAAGATTCTTAATCGAGGCTCAAAAATATACGTCTCAGAAACATAAACATTATATTTATAATCTCCGCAACAAAATTGTCGATTTTTTTTCAATATTAATTTGGAATATGCTTGGAATTTTTTAAAGAATACGACAATCAACTGCCAGAAAAATGCGTAGTTGCGCGAAGTAAATGCTTCATTTAATTTAGTTGTTATTTATTAACATTATTATTTAATTAAAAATTACGATGTTTATCGAAACTTTTTTCTTCAAAGTTGTCCAAGGAATTACTTTCTGGAGTTTTGGACATCACTTAGGAAACATCCTGTCATGTACCAATCTACCAATTGTGAGTAAATTATTATTGAGAGATTCTTATATAAAAAAAGACGTTCATATCTTTTGGACCGATAATTACGATCTTTTTTTCTTACATTAAATAGATTATGTTCTGGTTTAGTCATCTCTTCTGAAATATTCTGCACGCACGCGCGACACACGCACGCATACGTATTGTAAGAAAAAAATGATATAAATATCGGGTCAAAAGTTTTTTTTTTTCAAGTTTTTTTTTAAGAATCTCAATAATAATTTATTCAATTGACGGATTGACAAAAAGAAACTATTTTTGTATTATTATTGTTTTTATCCCAGCTTGTATGTTCCTCCTAAATTAAATTTTCAGAATTTTTATTTGTGGAAACACATCATAAAATTCTTTTTATGTACTTTTGTCCCTACTATGGAAGTATTCTTAAATCATCAATTTATGCCACAAAATTCGAAATATTTAAAAAAATTTTTGAATATCTTTTTCCGTAAGAGATTAACAAGAGATTTATTAACAAGAGATATACTTGAAAAAAAAAATATTTTTACTAAACTTTCTCATAAATAAAAAGTGTCTCTAGACTTATCTTTATATAATTCTTTTCTCTTGTTTCGTTTTGATGTCATTTTAAGTAGGCTCCTAAAATTTTGTCACCTACTTTTGAAATATCTTGTATACTATAATAATGTGTTTTATGTAACAGCATGAATATAGGAATGCTGCAAGTAATTTACGAAGAAATATATCGTACAATAATATAAACGATACAGATGATGCAAAAGCTCAAGTTCCCACATTTTTTATGGAAACACCATTTGATACCAGCGTTACCAGAAGAGTAAAAAGAGCTTATTCTTCATTGGATGCTATAAGTATTCGAACAGGGGTTTTTTTAAGAAGATATCCACTAGCTCGAATTTTAGTGTTGATTTATATGGTAAAGCGCATATTTATATTTATTTTTCTTAATAGATATAACTATTATTATAATTTATAGTATATATCTATTTTTGCAGGGGTTGCTTCAATTGTGGGTCTTGGTAGTACTTTTATCTCAATCACCAGAAGCGCATTAATAGCTGATTAGAAATTAGCATCGCATTTTAAAGAAAAAAAAATGTAAAAAATTCCATTTATGGATATTGAAGGGTGAGATATAGATTTGCATAACACATCAAATATCTTGTACAATTTAGGGTATATACACACACACACACATACATACATTATATATATATATATATATATATATATATATATATATATATAATATATATATATATATATATATATATATATAATATATATATATAATATATATCTTCATGAAATTATTTTATTATCTTTAAAACTGAATAAAAATTTTAAAAATGATAAATCAGTGATACTCATAAAATATTATGATTAAATTATCTTTTTCAAACATTTTTTACCTTCATCAATTATCATGGAATTTGTCTCTATTATGTCTATTTATCCTGTTTTATTGTTTATATTACAAAGGAATATTATTTTAATGTGTTATTTTAATTAAAAAAAAAAATTCTGTTACATTAAAAATTATTTCAATTTTTACTCAGTTTAACCTGTATATGACATAATCATTATCGGACACTATATATACAACGTGTCGCATCTAGAAGTGGTCCATAAAATATACCATAAAATATCTATAATATAAAATCTAAAATGTAAAATATTCATTTTTTTATTATCTTACCTTAATACTTTTATATACAAAATAATGAGAGGAATCAATTGGTGTAAAGAAAACATACAGTTGTTTTTAAGAAAAAATATGAAATTGTTAATTGCAAATTACATATTTTTTTTTTAAAAAAACTTCTTTACACCAATTGATTTCTCTCATTATTTTGTATATAAAAGTATTAAGGTAATATAATAAAAAAATGAATATTTCACTAGATATTTTATGGTATATGTAAAATTAAGAAATTATTTCAAGCCTCATAACTTGAAAAGTATTCAATGAAGAAATACTTTATTATAGTGTTTTGGAAAGCTCTCGAGATAAGCTATAAGAATAGGCAATAAAAAAGGGGGGTTTCCATTTAAAAAATGGAGATAACCTTGAAATCTCTGAGGCGCCTCCACCTACAAAACAATTATTAATAGCATATTACGGCTCTCTTGATACCGTACAACTTTTATACATACAAAATTTTTGTATCTCTAAAAATAACGGAGATATTCCAGGTGGACAGAGTTATTGGTCCACCCTGTATATATATATATTGGGTTGGAGAAAAAGTTTCTTCGTATTTTCCGGCAGATGGAATTAGAATCGCATAACCTTGATAATATTAATCGAATCTGTCAATACTTTGTGTGCGTTTGAAAGGTGACATATCATAAAGAAAAAGTAGCAAAAAAGTAGTGATATTTATCTATTCAGTTAAAAGTTATTGCATCTTGAAAATGAGTGAAGAGAAAGAAGAAATTCGATACATTTTAAAATTTTATTTTAAAAAAGGGAAGAATGCAACTCAGGCAGCTAAAAAAATTTGTGATGTTTATGGACATGATGCTGTATCAATACGTGTTGCACAAATCTGGTTCAAGCGTTTTCAATCTGGAAATTTTAACGTCAAAGATACACCTCGCTCTGGTCGACCGATCACTGAAAAAGTCGATGAAATTATGGAAATAATTGAACAAGACCGGCATATTAGCAGTCACGAAATCGGTAAGCAACTGAACATCGACCACAAAACAGTTTTAAACCATTTGCAGAAAGCTGGATACAAAAAAAAGCTCGATGTTTGGGTGCCACATGATTTAACAGTCAAAAATTTAATGGATCGATTTTCTATCTGCGAATCATTGTTAAAACGAAACGACATCGAACCATTTTTGAAACGGCTCATAATAGGCGATGAAAAATGGATCACGTATGACAATAATGTACGAAAAAGATCGTGGACAAAGCGAAATGAAGTTCCGCAAACTGTGGCAAAGCCAAAATTGACGCCAAGAAAAGTGATGCTGAGTGTGTGGTGGAATTACAAAGGAATCGTTCACTACGAGCTGCTGCCGTCCGGTCAAACAATTGATTCTAACCTTTACTGTCAACAACTGGAAAGATTACGCCAGTCAATTGAGAAAACGCGACCAGAATTGATCAATAGGAAAGGCGTCGTCTTTCATCACGACAACGCGAGACCTCATGTATCTATAGCGACTCGTCAAAAATTAAGAGAACTTGGCTGGGAAGTTTTGATGCACCCACCTTATAGTCCTGACCTTGCACCATCAGACTACCATTTATTTCGATCTCTACAGAACTCTCTTAATGGTACGAAGTTGGCTTCAAGAGAGGCCTGTGAAAATCACTTGTCACAGTTTTTCGCCCAGAAATCACACAAGTTCTACAGTGACGGGATTATGGTTTTACCTCAAAGATGGCAAAAGGTGGTCGAACAAAACGGCACATATTTAATTTCATAAGCTTCATTTCAAATATGAATAAAATTTGTTTCATTTTTGCAATAAAATACGAAGAAACTTTTTCCCCAACCCAATATATATATATATATATATATATATATATATATATATATATTGGGTTGGGGAAAAAGTTTCTTCGTATTTTATTGCAAAAATGAAACAAATTTTATTATATATATATATTTATATATATTATATATATATATATTTATATATTATTATATATATATTTTATTATATATATATATATATATATATAGTGTTTGATAGTAATTATATCATGTGCAGATTAAACTGAATAGAAAAGTCTTATGCCCTTTTGCAATTTTCACAATAATTAATGAGCAATTAATTTTAAAAAATCAACTAATTCATGTGAGTATAAAACGCGGCGAGATAGTCCAGCATTCACAACTCATGTAGTTGTCATTTATAGATCCTAGCGAAAATAAATATCGGAGCGTAAGTCGAATGTAAGGAAAGAGTAACAGAAGTGTAAACGAAGCTCCCAAGAAACATAAATTGTAACGCCGAAGCGTAAACGCTGAGTTGAGATCTTAATACATATACATATATGTATAATATTATTTGCTATGATATGTATGGACTTGTTACATCTTATATCATTTCACTGTATTATCATCTTATAAATGTAAGATGTATTACAAAATCGTATATCAAATTGTGAATATGTAATTAAATATGGCAACGCATATTTTGCGTTTTTAACATAAGATTCATAATGTATTCTATTTACATAATGATAATATAATAAGGTGGTACAAGAGTACACAACAAGTCTATATGCATCACATCTTTAGATAATACAGTCGATATGGCTGATACAGACCTTTTATTAATATATAAAATATCTGTTATTAATATATAAAAAGTAGTATCCCTACCGAAAATGGTCGATACAATATGATAATGGTCGAACATAATCCGTTTTAATCAGTTTTAATCGGTTCAATCCCGGATTAAAAAGTAATCGATTTTAATTCCGAACAAATTACAATCGATTTTAATATCGCTTTCGTGAATTATTTCCAATCCGAAATCATTATATTTTAATCCATATTGTTGTCAATCTAAATAAACACGAATAATCGAATTTAATGTATGATCCAAAATAATCCGCCTAGTATGCAATTTTAATTCGTTATAATAATAGCCAATTTTTAATAATTGAGTTGATTGTAATCCGGTTTAATTTAAAATTCACCGATTTCAGGAATAATAACTAAATCGGTTTTAATGCAATAAGAATCCAATTTTTGTGTAAGCAACAGTAATTTGTTTTAATTTAAAATTTTAAGATTTTTCGGATGAAAATGAAATCAGATTTAATGCAATTAAATCAAATTTTTGTCATAAATATATTCAACTGTGTGTACATAAATGAAGAAACAAAATTATATTTATTACAAAGTTTTATTTATCATTGAATTTCAAATATATTCGGAGGTTTGCATAAATATCTACAATATCCTACATCTATGTGAATAACTTTACTTTTGATATAGCTTCCTTAACAGCACATGATATCCGAATATTCTATACTCATACTGTAAATATACTGTAAGATAGCTGATGATGCTGATAGAGATGATACTCTGATAGAGATGATACTCCGTATAAAATAAGATGTAATTATACCGTGTGATATAGAGTCAGATAAGATTATCTCAATCAAGCCGTCCGTGGTGATACACGATGCAGGAATATTGTCAGGATGTTTGTCAGGATGAAATATACAACAATGATGCACAGAACACACACAATTTAATTAATGTTACTCAATTAACTGATACAAATTAGAAGACGGTAACCGCGTAATACTGATTCGTATAAATGCATACTGCGTAATAATGATCGCGAAGAAGCAAAACGGAAGAGCGAAGAAGAAAGAGAACTTCAAATTCCACAGGACCCCTTTATATCGATCCTGGCGGAATATCGATATTGACGTAATCGTGCGCGCGCACCCTATACATGACTCAGCAGGCACGCAAGCCCACATACCGGGTGTACAATAAATATATCAGATAACGGGTGTACATAAATTCTTTACAATACGTTACAGATGTAATATACTGAGAATAATCGCAGAATAAACATCTCTTGTTGTATATCATTTTTCATATATTCTCAGAATATACTTTGCATATCTCGTATTAGTATATTCTTTTTCGTATATTTTCAGGATATTCTATAATATTGCATGTGTTTCCTCATTTTGCCGCTGCGCGCGCCACCAAACTCGCATGATCATGTTACTGCCAGTTTTTTATATACATTTCACCAAAAATTAAGTACGAGTTTGGTGGCGTGCGCAGCGGCAAAATGAGGAACACATACAATATTATAGAATATCCTGAAAATATACGAGAAAGAATATACTAATACGAGATATGCAAAGTATATTCTGAGAATATATGAAAAATGATATACAACAAGAGAGATGTTATGAGATTATTCTCAGTATATTACATTTGTAACATATATTTACAGTAGTATGTGTATAGAATGAGTATAGAATATTCAGAATATACAGTATGAGTATAGAATATTCGAATGATATTGTAAGATTATTCTACAGTTTTGTCAAAAAATGAATAAATATTCAAAGAGTGT